CCCCACATCTCCCCCAACATCCCCCCAACCCCCCCAGAAAGGAAGCCAAGAAGAGCTGGAGGAGGTTGTTTGGTTTATCCACTGAAGATACAATTTTCAGTTTAATAACACCATTCTGTTAGGTTACAAACATACTAAAAACCTACAAAAAGAAGAACAAGTTACACCCATTGTACACGAAACCAGCACGGAAGCGTCGAGGAACACGCACACGAACAGTACTCGCAGCAGTCACGGAAAGACACGGAGTTACAGGGGACCACGCCAGGCTCACGTCTGTGGGTCACGGTGGGACTGGTTAAGAAATACCAACAGTTAAGAGACAACTTCAGCTATGGAAAGCAGTTAGTGTCTGTCAGAGAGGGCAGACCCAGCGGGCGGGTTTATCCCTCCCTGTCTGTAAGTCGGTCCAAGGTTAGCTCATGGGTTTCCCTTCCACCCAGCAGTCCTTGCACTGACAGCAGTGCACCAGCGCAGCTTCCCTATGGCAGGGGCAGGGAAGGCTGAGCTCTGGAACCAGAGTCCAGCCGCACAAAATCTGGTCCCCACTGAAGTTGCTGGGCACCTCCGCACAGACACTGGGATCCCCTTTACTGGGGTAAACTGGAGCAAACTGGCAGAGATGCAGGAGGATTTCCGTGGCAGAGCCTGTGGCTCTGAGATTCGTCTCACCGTAGGAGAAGACAGAGGGTGGTGACACAAGGTCCTTAAGAGTTCCTTGTCCAAGCAGCTCTGGTGGCGTTGGGGTGTCTCTCCAGCTGGCTGGGTGTATATGGAACTATACCTGCCATGAGTGTTTGCCATAGGGAGGGGGGACATACTGGATGGGATCCATGCCTCATCCTAACCCTACACTTCTCGTTCCCTCCAGCACTGAACTCCCTCTGACCAAATGCAGTGGTGACCTTACGGTGGGGGGACACAAGCTGCTTGATATAGTGTCCCCAGAGAGAGACAGGACGTGCTCAGCGGGAACCCTGTCCCAGAGACCCCGCCCCAGAGACCCCAAATTCCCCTGCCAGCATTCATCTGCTGCAGGGGCCACAGAGACTTTCCCACCCAGGCCCTGGGTCCAAGCCCAGCACTGGTGCTAATGCAGAGGCATCAGAGCCAGGGGCTGGATTCTGCCACCACCAAGGGATTGAGCCCGAGCACACTGGGAGGTGAAGTTCTGACCCCAGTGAATAGGACCTGGATGGAAGGTGGGGGTCAGGGGGTCTCCAGCCGGCTGCAGTGGGTGCAGGGGGGTGACAGGACAGGCAGTAACAGGGAGTAGCTCTACAGGCGTGTGCATGCATGTGCACTGGAGAGCCAGGACCCAGCCTCCCTTTCTGCTCCTCCGCACGGCATTCATCAGCCCTGTCGCTCTGGAATGGTATTTTTCCCTTTTTCTGTTCATTTTCATCTCTCCCAGATGAGTTTTCCCTGATTTAAGCAACGCCTCCTCCACACGGGCAGCAGTAGAGGGGGGAGTTTGCATTATCTCCATCTCCTCCTGAGCTCTGCCCTGGCTGCCCTCCCTGCTCCATGTGACTTCCTCTAGAGCTGGTAAAAATAAATATGTTTTCATTTGCATGTATTTGCCTGGCTGCAATGTGGCTGCTGGGGGGGCCTCTTGAGGGACAGCAGCTGCACACATCTGGATTTACTTGTGAAAGATGTGCCTGGAAAAAACAACCCCAAGCCCAGCACATGCGGACATGGGTGCAGCAGGGCATGGGGTGGTTTATTCTAGGGGTGCAAAGGAAGAGGTTAGAAACACAAGAAGAAACTAAGCCCCATTCCAAGGTGAGGTGGAGGGACCTCACTGCTGCTCCCCCAAAGCCAAGGCACTCAGGTAGGTGGGGCATGAACATGGAAACAGCCACCCCAAATTCACTTCTCTACCAATGGTGACTGAGCCTGGTTTTGGCTGTGGAAAGGGAGAAGGGTTTGCACTGCAAAAATAAGATTCCCACCTGGAGAATATTAACCTCAAAGGTCGAGATGTGAGCTTTGTCTGAGGAGGAGACATCCCTGTACAGAAACATTCCTGGCCCAGCATCCACAGAGCATAGGAATTACATGAACTCATTGAAAATATGTGCTGCTGGACCCAAGGTTTTGGCAGAGATCAGTGAAGCTCATGATGCACCCCAAACCCATTAAACCCATCAGATTGCTCCAGGCAATCACTCTCCAGCCCTGCACTGGAGCAAAGTTAATGACTGAACAGGTCTTTTCCCATCTGCACAGGTCTAATCCTGGCCCCAGCAGCAGCTGCTGTTTGAGGGATGCCTCTGCCAACCATGCTCAGACATAAGCCAGAGGCATCAGCTGCTGGCACGGTCACTGGTTCAGGCTGCTGGGCTGAGTTTTGGGGGTGCTGACGCTAAATGACAGCCCAGCTCATGAGCAGAGCAGCATCACTTGGTGCCCTGTGCCTGTCCCTTTTCTAAATCCCTGGACCTTGCCAAGGACAGCTGTGTCCTGAGCAGTTATTTCACCCAACCCTCTGTGCTCCATCACTCCTCTCCACCTGGTTTATTGTGGGACATCAGGAGGAAAGAACTGGAAGGCCAGAGAGAGTGGTGGCTGTGGCGTTAGTAGGATCCTGGGGATGTTTTGGCACAAACCCTGGTCCCAGGTCTCTGGGAAATGCAGCCAAGAGGTTTAGAGCCCTCCCCAAACCCCCCTTTTCCCAGAGCCAGGGCACTGGGCAATGGCAGAAACTCCCGGCTGTATCTAGGTGAGCCCAAAGGAACAGGAGATGACATTTTCTCCCCAAGCACACCTCTCCTGCTGCCTTGAGCAGCAGCCCTGGGCTGCACCAGCATCTAGGCATGAGTGATGGAAGGGGCAGGGCTGGGGTCCAACAGGGATGCTGAGCAGGAACCTGCTGTTGCTGACAGAGGAAGAAGTGGAAAACCCCATCAAGAGCTTTTCTGGGAGCGGGGACCCCTCTAGCAGTGTCAGGGGGCAGAGGAGCCCCTTGATTTGGAAGGAAAACACCAGGGCAGTGGTGGAATGAGGCCAGAGCAAATCTCAGAAGGGAACCCCCCTCCCACTTCAATAGGGATCATTGCCCTTCATGCTGGAGCTCCAAAAACATTAGAGACCTTTTGGAAAGTGCTGGGTGATGAGGATGCCAAAGCTTCCTAGCACATGTGATGTTTCATCCCCAATCCTTTGTCAGGCATCCTATAAATCCAAGCACATATGCAAGAGGCACTGGGGCTGCTCCTCTTCCTTTTTTTTGTAACCGAAGGAGAAACTGAGGCAGAAGCCAAGACAATTCACCCACAGCTTCAGGGACAGCCAGTGCTGGAGCAGAATGAGCGCTGCAAGCCTTGCAGACACGGCTTGGATTTTGTGGGGGGAAAGAGGCCTTTGCCAGGCACTGGAACACTGTCAGCCCCTGGGGAAGGACACGGCTCCTGTATGGTCTGGTTCCTACCAGGCACTTTATTTGAAGTAACCCAGTTTTATCAAGAGGGCAGAAGTATGTTCTAAGCAACCAGTTACTGACAGATTTTAACAGAGCAGGCACCTTCCTTCACACCCAGGAATCCCTCCTGCTGTGGCTATTTCATGGGACATACTGATCACAGCCTGAACCCCCCTTCTCACGGTGTGGGGCAGAGCTGCCCCAGCCCTTCATCGCTTCACCACCCTGCTGCTGGCTGCTGGACAGACAGACCTACAGATGTCAGCTCCCAGGGCAATGGCACGGTGTGTGCCTCACAAGCCCACCAAGGCTGGGTTGGATGGGGCTTGGAGCAACCTGCTCTAGTGGAAGGTGTCCCTGCCCGTGGCAGGGGGTTGGAACTGGAGGAGCTTTAAGGTCCCTTCCCACCCACAACATTCCATGATTCTTCCTTCCTCACTCTCTAACCATGGAGGAGCACATCCTGCCTACCCCCCTTGCTCCCTTCAGCCCTGGGAGGGTTTGCAGCAGCCAGGCAAGGAGAGGGACTATGGATGATGGGAGAGGCGTGGGTTGCTGCCAGCTCATGGTGCAGGGTGATGGGACACCAAGAGCAGCTCTGGCCATAGCCATCAGCCCTGTCACCCTGCCAGGTGAGCAGAGAAAGTGCAAAGCAAAGTGCTTTCAGTGCCAGCCGGTGCTCCCCATAAGCATCACACCCCCAAAAGCAAGGAGCCAGGTTTGCCTGGGGGCTGTGTATGGAAAACCAGGGTCATGTTGTTCATCAGCAATGGGGCTGCGCAGCACTGCTGCTTGGGCAAGGGTCTCTGAGGAGGAGCAAGTGAGGTGCAGGATTTGGGAAGTGGTGATGAACAGGCCAGGACAGTAAGATAGAGTCAACAACCAAATGCCCTCCCTTTGTGCTCTGCATCCCCTTCCAGCATCCCGCGCTACCGCTTCACCCCGACCACCCTCACCCTTCATGGTTCTAGTTTATTTTGGCTTATTTAGTTTGTTTTTAAACCCCCTGGAGATCCAATTGTGAGTTGGCAGCTAACGGACCCGGCCCTTGCGGGCTCCCCAGCCCAAGCACAGACCTTGAGCAGAGACCAGAGTGAAGTCCTGGCGTGAGTGAAGCCCTCCCTGCCCCTCGCCCGGCCCGGGGGCCGCTCACAGGGTGGCGGTGGGGTACTGTGCCCAGCCCACCTCCTTGTACGCCGCCGTCACGTGCGTGTAGATGAGGGTCTTCATCTTGGTCCAGGCACTGTGCGCCTCCGGGGTGAAGTCATTGGCGTACTCTTCAGCAATGACCTCCAGCATGACGCCAGTGAGTTTCTGGAAGGCACCAGAGGGTTAATAACTTGCCAGGGAGCAGCTAACAGCAGGTTTTGGCTTTTTCCTACTCATGCTGCGACTGAGCTCTGGGAATAGCGATGCTCTGAGTGATAGATCAACGCTTGGGAAGTCTGTTGACACCCCAGGTAATGAGCCTGCCTGAGCAGGGGGCAGGCTGAGACCCAGGCACCATGGGGTGCTTGCAGGCTCCAGCATCTCCTTAATTTAGGCACCTCCAATTATTTAGTCCCTTCTACCATGCTTCATTTCTAGCAAAAGGGACCGTACAGCCACAGCCATGCCAGAAGAGCTGCAGGCAGGACACAGGCTTCCCGGAGCAGGAGAAATTGATGCTCTGGGTTGGCTGCTTTTAGGAATGATGATCTGCATGGGACAGCATTGCAGCGGGACACCTCTGCCACCTGGGGAGCAACCTCCAGGACCAGCCAACCTCCTTCAGGCAAGGACATGCAGCACCAGTTCACCAGATCTCCCTCTCTCCTGCCCTCTTCCTAATTCCTAAAGCATTCCAGAGGTATGTTTTTGCTCCTATCTTTTACCTTGAAGTAGATGGGCTCCACTTTGTGCTTGAGGGCATGGGCCTTGCCCACCAGGGCCAGAACAGAGGAGACCTTTTCGGAGTCATTGAGGTTCTCCACCACAGTGTTAATGGCACCCATGACCCGCCGAGCGTGCTTACGCAGTTGCAAGCTCCTCTCCATCTCCAAGGGGTCCTCCATGTGCTTGAACTGGCTGAAGTACTGCTTGGCCGAGGGGAAGCTGACAAAAAACCTGCAAGAAAGAACAGACATCAAACACCATCAGGAGGGTGAGAGCAGGCAGAGAGGTTAGAGCAGAACATGGAGTGGTGGAGGTGCTGAAAATCACCCCCTTCCATCCAACACAGCCAGGGCTGCTTTTCCTCACTGAATTCCTCAGGACCTGTGGTATTCAGCTGACTAAAACCAGCAGGTTAATGCCTTTCTCCCAACCTTCCTTATCTGATACAAAAGCATCACAGCTGGATATTCACCTACAAACCAGACTGAGCACTTGATCGCCAGAGACGGCACCCAGGAGTGCAGATGCTATATACATACCCACATACATCAAAACATCATGTCCTGTCTCAGAGAGGTGGAGAGGAGCATGACTACCTCTCTTTATCCCAGCTACTCTCTCCCTACTCCTATTTCCCAGTCCCATGGGTTTTATCCTGCATTGTCACCCAAAACAGCCCCCCCTGACCCAGATGCCTCCACCTTTCACACATCAACCGCACCAGGGGCTCATGTCACTGCTCATCTGTGCCAGGAGCTGATGTCCCACAGCCCCTCTTTGCTGCAGGATTACGTCAGCCCCAATGAAATGCAGCTGGAGCAGGTGAAGCTGTGGCTGCAGCTGAGCTCCCTGGGGAGCTAGAGGGGCAGAAGGTGACAGGGTGTAGGGCTTGGAGCCGCTGCAGCCTGTCACTCTCATCAGCCAGGGCTGACACTGGTCTCACATTAACCACCCTCTTCCACCCCAGTTTTGCAGGGGAGAACCACATCAGCATTTGTTCCCCCTTTCACCCAGCTCCCTTCCTCCTACAGGGGTCTCCTTGCCTTCTCCTTCACCTGGACCAGGGAAGGATGCTCAGGAGGTGGCAGACATCTCCCAGGGCTGTCCCCATCATCCAGATGGACAGCTTCCTCCCCTCTCCCAAGCCATAACCCCCACTCCAAGCACCATCCCAAACCATGTGAACCCATCCCACCTCTATTCCCAACCATCACTACCTCCCTCCAGGACCAGGTGGGGTTCTCTTCCCCACTTACCACTCTACAAATCATCTCACTATTGAGGACCAGCCTCATTTACCACTTTGTTATCCTCCTTTTCCCTTCCTTCCCCCACTCCCTTGGCTTGTGAAAGCTTGGGGGCATTGCCAAGGAAGCAGCGTGAAGCAGCGCCTGGAGTGCACCACGGCTCCTGCTGCTTCCTGAAGCATCTGGGATTCATCAGATGGCCCAAAATAGGTTTCAGAGGTGTGAAGGCAGCAAAAAGGGTGGGGGAGGAAGGAAGGTGGAAGAGGGAGACAAGGTGCTGCTTTTAAAACCAGGAGGGGACCCATGACAAAACTCCTCCTGTTACGGTGCAGCCTCCCCCTTGGCAAAGTTCCTCCTGTGACGCCTGGTCCCTGTTGGGAGAGATCCCACCCAGTCCGGGCTGTCTCCAGCTCCTATCACCAGAGATGCTCCGTCTATCTCCTTCAGCCCAGAGATGTCAGGGAGGTGGTTGGGGTTGGACATGGGTCCCCCAGCCACAGCCAGGCAGGTAGCACTGTTCCCAGGATTCATGGCTTCTGCCCTGAGCATGTCCCAACAGAAGGGCAAATGTTCCTCTCTGGTTTAATGGGACCATTTTTTCCATCCAGCCACACATCCTTCTTCCCTGTCCCATCCCTCCCAGCTCTGCTGCAGCCCCAATCCTGCAGCTCCAGCCAGCCCTTGACATCAATGTCCTCCAGCTACAGACATCAAACACCCCACCAAGGTCAGAGCTAAGGCTTTGCCACCCCTGATAGTGGATCTTTTCCCCTCACCCTCCTGCTCTGGCCAGCATCCCCTGGGCACTGGAGCAGGGAGTGCTGCTGGAAGGGGGACCTGCTGCCTACAGACCACCCCAAGCAGGGGATGTGGGCTGCCAGCTGTCAATGCACCCTGAATCCCAAACCATCAGAAGCTCCCTGGAAAGCCCTGTTTGATCTCAGCTCAAGGACATGATATTATGAAGAGCCAGGAAATGAGCTGAGGAAAAATTCCTGGTCTGAGCCAGGTTCTTTCAGTAGAAGGGCTACAGTAAGTGGGCACCAAGCCCTGCATCCCCAGACATCACAGCATCATCCCACCAAGAGAAGGATCAAAAGAAGCCACTGGGACCGATGCTCTTTGGGAGCAGGAGCTGAGGCTTCATGCCTCGCCACTGGCATCACCTCCACCTCTCTGCCCCTTTCATCCAGCTACACCAGGAGCAAAGATTGATTAAATCACCAAAAACCCCCAACCTGGGTTAAGCCAGTGGAGGATCTAAATATTTGGTTTCCAACCTTTCCCCACTTCACAGACCCTGGAGATGATGCTCCCGTGGGACCTGAGCACGAACAGCATTCCTAAGGGACCTGAAAGAGGTTCAGTAGTGGAGGAATACAAACCCAGCAAACCCCTGCTCTTGTGCTTAAGGCTGTCTGCCCCCTTTCACTGATGAAGAACTGAAACAGGGAAGCCCAAAGCGTCTCTGCTTTAAGCTGAAAAGCAAATCTGTGGCTGGCTGGACACCTGCACCTTCTTCTTCTGCAGGGGTGGAGAGAGGAAAACTCCTGCAGGAAGAACTGGCCTGGAGCAAATACTTGAGTTGTCAAACCAAGAGGGAAGGAGGCTGGCGCAGTGCTCCATGTTAATAAACAGAGAAGATTAATTTAACACAAAGGTTAAATATATCCAGAGGAAAGGAGAGGGAAAGGAAAAAGAGGGGGAAGAAATAAAGTAAGTCAAACAATAGTGAACTGGGAGAGGTGTCAGTTGGGGTTTTTCCGTCTACAGAACATTTCTGAGAGTTCAAACATCTCAGGCTCTGGAATTTTGTTGGGTCATGATGTGCGTGTGTGTGTTTGGAGCTCTTTTTCTTCATCAGAGTCATTAAACAGATGACATCTACCATTCTGTATCACACCAGATGATGATTGATAGGAAGCAGATGCCTGCATACCAATCTCATTAAGTTTCTTTTTAAGCGCTTCCATTCTGCGCCCGCTCATTTGTACTCTGTGAGCTGCATCTGGACCCGATGGACAGGATGTCAGCTTTGCTTTTCCTCTCCCTTTTGCCCTTTTAACAACTTTAAGGACACAACAGCAGAGCCAAAGGAAATAATTAAGGTGCAAACCTTAATTTGCTGTCATTGGGAACCTGTTTTCTACTCAGGAGAGGCACCACTTCTCCTGCATCTCCCCCATCTTCCTCCCTTTCCCAAACCCCACATGGAGGAAATCTTCATGCCCTTCATCTCCTTCTTTGCCCAGCTGGAAGGATGAATCCTGGGTTTCAGCTGCTCCTTTGATCCCTCCTGAGCACCTAAACTCTTGGTGCCTCACTTACCCTGTTTGCAAACTGCAGGGGAAAATACTAGTGAGCCCTTCAAGGTGCTGGGAGGCTTCAGCTGAGCCTCAACCAGCACTTGTAGACTTGTTTTTGCTAGATTTCCCTACCAATGCGTTCATGTTTTCTCTCACCTCATCCCCCTATGTGGGAGAAACTCTCTGACGCAGCCTGGAGTTTCTCCACGTCCCTTTTCCAACCTCTCCTTCAAATCCTCTCTGCTTGGGTGCCTACAAAGCAGCTGATAATGGGTAGGCAGGTGGTGTGTGATGTTGCTATTTATTATGCCAAAGGCTGTCACGCCTCTTCCCCCTGCTCCTCCCAGCCACCTGTGGTCCATCATCCTATTTCCAGGCTGGGGTAGGGATGCTGCAAGCTGCCTGTGTCCACAGCACCCAGCTCAAAGTGGGAAAGTCTCAGCTATGTCATTGCCACTGCCCAGCAAGACAGGAAAAGGCAAATCTCAGTGGAGGAAGAAGAAGATGGTGCCTGCTTGTGTCCTCTTCATGAGGGCTCAAGAGGGTGGAGGTGGTGGTGGGCAGCAGCTCCAGAGTGAGAGGGCTGGAGGGAAAAGGGCCAAGCCCCTGGTCCACATATTGATGCTAAATTCAACTTGTACAGCTGAGGGAAAAGAGGTGTAGCTCTTCTTTTCCCCTTCCTCCAGGGGAAGCCCATGTTCTGCTGCAGAGCCTTGGGAGCAGATTCCAGCTCATCTCTAACACCCCGGGCACTGCAGAGCCCCAGGGACCAGGACACCCCAGAGGGGGTGGGAGATGTCCCAACAGCAAAGATGCAGCTAAATACACTGGGGCACGAGCAAGCATGCTCATCCATGTGCTGGGTTCATTTCCTACTCACACCCCCAAGTCCTGATCACTGTTGTCTTCCCCTACCACATGTAGATTCAGCCCAAATCCTCTTGGCTGCATAGATGAGCCTTTAGGCTGGGGTAAAGACAGCTTTCACCAGACAAATGAATTAACAGCACCAAAGTGGCTTTCCCATGCACCTCCAGTTTCCTATGGCCCTTCACTCAGTGCCTTCCTCCACAGCATCATCCTCAGCCCCTCCACATATGTGCCCTTGCCCCTCTCTGGTGCCAAACCACTGTCCCTGCCTGCATCCCTGCCCACTGGGACATCACGTCAACCCCCTCCACCTTGACACCAGCATCTCCTCCCACAGCAGACACCCCTCCTACAGCTCTGCCAAGCAGGGCCAGCGTGGCCTGGCAAGGTCAATGGGGATTGGGAGAGGATGCTAAAAGGTGACTCTTGCCTCTGAGGCATGGTGAGGATAGAGCTTGCTGGAGCCTCACTCCGTGATCCCAATCCCCAGGGACAGTGGAGGGTTTTGGAGGTGGAAGACAATCCCTGGCTGGGTGGAGAAGGGCTAACTCAGCTTAACAAGGATGTGGTCCCTGCGCTGGGATCTGTTGCCTATCCAGCAAAATTCCAGTGAAATTGGGAACATGATGTCTGCCACCACCTCTCCCACCCAACACTCCGGTGCCGACTGCCCAGGGATGTCCTTGCAGCTTTGGGGTGTGGAGTGGGATCTTTTTAGACTTCATAATAGATGCAAGAGCAGCCCTGGGACAGGGGATGTGGGAAAAGCATTTCTGGGGTCACTCCAAGAGCTGCTGGCAGCCCCACA